CACACACACACACAGATACACACACACACACAGAGATACACACACACACACACACACACACACACACAGATACACACACACAAGAAACAAGAGTTTAGTGAACAAATACAGTTGAAAAGCCCAAAAAAAAACAGACAACTGCTATAGAGTGATAAAACCCTTCCATCCTCATGAGCTCACTGGGCTTTTTATTATCTGAAATGAGCTCAAGTTTTATTCTACAACGTCAAAAAACCTCATAAGTGTGTGTTACGGTGCTGTCGAGCCCGTGATCCTTCATTTGCGGTCTCCTGTCAGCAGATGGCGTGTGTTTCAGTGTTTCTGCGGTGGGTTAGCAGCGATGAATTTGACTGATAAAAACTCGTTATGTTCTAATGTCAGATATGTATGTATATATGTATGTATTAGTGATCGACCGATATTGATTTTTTATAACCGATACCAATTATTTGCATGTTTATGTGCCCGATAACCGATATGCGGAACCGATATTTATTTACTGTTATAAAGTAAATAAATGACTGAGTGAAAAACCCTTCCATCCTCATGAGCTCACTGGGCTTTTTATTATCTGAAATGAGCTCAAGTTTTATTCTACAACGTCAAAAAACCTCATAAGTGTGTGTTACGGTGCTGTCGAGCCCGTGTTCCTTCATTTGCGGTCTCCTGTCAGCAGATGGCGTGTGTTTCAGTGTTTCTGCGGTGGGTTAGCAGCGATGAATTTGACTGATAAAAACTCGTTATGTTCTAATGTCAGATATGTATGTATATATGTATGTATTAGTGATCGACCGATATTGATTTTTTATAACCGATACCAATTATTTGCATGTTTATGTGCCCGATAACCGATATGCGGAACCGATATTTATTTACTGTTATAAAGTAAATAAATGACTGAGTGAAGTAAGAACTTACTTCACTTTGGTTTTTCCTCCTTTCAGTCATCTTTTTTTTTTTTAAGTGTTGAAAATTAGCAGTCTTTCATGTTAAAATTAATCTTCATACTACAACAATAAAAAAACATTTTATTTAAAGCATCAGCAGCAACACTAATATTAACAATAAGCAAAATAAATGTAGAATGTCTAATGTTTTCAAATGGAGAAAATAAATAAAGGACAGGAGTCATATCAACTTCATTTTAAACTACAGTTTTAGTATGTTTATAAGCTGTTTAATAGCTACAGAGTCAAGAATAATTCACTGGATAATGTTAATTCACTGAATAATATTCTCTGGAATATTCGAATATAACAAACAAAACATCTTATTTTATTGCATTTCTCAACTGGTATGTTATATCAGAATTACTAATGTTTTTGTT